GGTGGCTCTGACCTTCCTTTTAATGCCAACCCTGATTAAACCTGCAAGGAAGACACGGACATTTCACGATGGCCGAACCCCAGGTGCTCGGAGGGCTTGGTTCCTTCGTCCAGCATCCCGTCTCCAAGGAAACGCCTCCGTCACCTCCGCTTCCGGCGTGGCGGAGGGGGGGCGAGGGTCTCCGGGTGCCCCGGGCCTGACCCCGCGGAGGTGGAGGTCGGAGACTCTGCCGGGTACTTACTGGCCACCGAAGAGCTGCATTCCCAAAAGGGCGAAGACCACGATGAACAAGAAGAGGAGGAACAGCAGGCTGATGATGGACTTCATGGAGTTGAGAAGAGAGACGACCAGGTTTCGGAGAGACGCCCAGTACCTGGCGACACAGGCCGGCAAGGCGTCAGGCCGGGCCGGGGAGCCGGCCACGAGGCACGAAGCCCCCCGCCCCGCCTTCCCTGCCATGTCCCCATCCCCCCATCCTGCCACCGTGTCCCCATCTCCCCACTGCCTGCCCTGTTCCCATCCCCCCCGCCACTGTGTCCCCATCCCCCTTCCCCCACCCTGTCCCCATCTCCCCCCCCGCCATGTCCTCAACCCCCTTCCCCCCTTCCCCCCCCCCCCAGGCCCAGGAACCCAGAGACTTACTTTGTGACTTTGAAGATACGCAATAACCTGAGAGCTCGTAACACGCTGATGCCGAAGGACGTGCCGGGTTTTATGACGGCCCAGATGACTTCGAAGATGCTTCCGATGATAACCTGGAACGGCAGACCTGGTCTCACGTCCGGGGACAGGGACAGCGTTCCCGGTCTCCGGAACTTGCAGAAAATTCCTAGGCGCCAACCTCTCGGGGATCCGACCCAACTCCCACTTCTGAAGGGACCCGGGGTGGGGGGTCCGTGACCTCCTCGTTGCTTCCCTTTTAGTTTATTGCGCGCCCACCCGAAACCCACACGCCTACCAACCCAACGTGTGTGCGGCTACTGCCCACGTCGAGAATTAGGACGTGTCGCAGCACCCCAGAAGATTCCAGAGACCCTGTGACATCACCACCATCCTGGACTTTGTGATAACTATTTCCCTACCTTTTAAAAAAAAACGAGGTGAAATCCGTGTAACATGAAATTAACACTCTTAAGGGCACAGTGCTCGGCGCATTCGCCGTGCCCTGCAACCACCACCTCTCAGCTGTTCCAAAATATTTTCATCACCCCCAAAGGAAGCTCTGTCCCCGTTAGCAGTCACTCCCGCCCCCTCCCCGTCCCCAGCCCCTGACAACCACTAATCTACTTTCTGTCTCCATGGATTTGCCTGTTCTGGCCATTTCATAAAAATGGAATTATGCAATAGGTGACCTTTCGTGTCCGGTTTCTTTAGCTGAGCATAATGTCTTTCAGGTCCTCGCCTTTTTAAAGTATTCAAGTATCATCCCTCAATAATAGAGTTTAATTTTGTCCATTTGAACTTTGCATGAGCTGTGCGGGCTCATCTTGTCTGTGTCTGCTTCCTTCTGTGCCGCGCGGTGTGGGTGGGGGACCCACCCCTTTGAGGGGTGTGGCTGCCGGGGTGGCCACGTACCGTGGACGCAGCACGACTTCCTTACCCATTCTGCTGCGAAGGGATACTTGGGTATTCGTGCTTGGGATTACCACAAACAAGGATGCTCAGGACATTATTTTATTTTATTATGTTTTAGAGATGGAGGTCTCTCTCTGTCCCCCAGGCTGGAGTGTGGTGGCACGATCATAGCTCACTGCAGCCTTGAACTCCTGGCCTCAAGTGATCCTCCTGCCTCAGCCTCCAGGGACACGACAGGTGCATGCGGCCATGCCTGGCTAATTTTTCTATTTTTTTTTGTAGAGACGGGGTCTCGCTCTTGCTCAGGCTGTTCCCAAACTCCTTACTTAGCTCGAGCGATCCTCCCACCTCAGCCTCCCAGAGTGCTGGCATTACAGGCAGGCGTGAGCCACCGCAGCCGGCCGACCTCGCCCCTTTGGACGTCCCTACATATCAGCCATTCTGGGCAAGAGCTGGAGAGCTAAACTTCTTAGGAGCCGGGAACACTTACCCCACAGTCCTAGGGCATTCCACTTTTGCCTTCTCCATCAGAGAACAAAAAAAACGGCTTTTGGCCCGCGGCGATGGGTGGCCTCACACCCCGGTGATCCTGGCACATTGGAGTTGAGGATGGAGGGGCTGGCTTATGCGCCAGGAGTCTGAGACTACCGGAGCAAGGAGCAAGAGCAAGACCCCATCTCTACAAATAATAGAAAATTACAGGTGAAGGCGCAGTGCACACCAAGAGTCCCACCTACTCAGGAGGCCCTGAGGCCGAGAGAATCACT